TCTCCCTCCCTCCTTCCCTCTCTCCCTCCCTCCTTCCCTCCCTCTCTTCTTCCTCCCTCCTTCCTCCCCTCCCTCCCTCTCTCCTTCTCTTCCTCCATTATTTTCACCACCCACCCCCGCCACTTTCTTTTTCTTCCTCCTTTTGGTGGTACTAGATATTATACCTAGGGCATCCTGCTTACCAGACAAACACTCTACTGAGTCACTTCTCCAACCCATCACTGGAGAATTCTAGGTAAGTGTTCTACACTCTACCCCCCCCCCCCCGCTTATATTTTTATTTTGAGATACTATTTCACTAAGTTGATCGGCAGGACTTAAACTCACTCCACGACTCAGGTTGGCCTTGAACTCGGGATTCTCCCACTTGAGTTTCTCAAGTATCTGGAATCACAGGTTGGTGCATCAAAATCTGGCCACGTGGCACTTTCATTAATTATTTGAGTGTATTCTACTTATGAAGAAAAGAGTTCATTATAAAACAGGGCTCCAGTTATCTCGTATATCTTATATCTGTGGTGTGTCTTGATTGCATCCAGAGGCCACATTGAGTGAGGGGCCTACACAATTCTGGTTTGTGAAAATGAGCTTGATGATGTCATAAGACAACAACATCCCCTGAGGGTGCATCACACCCGAGCTCCTCCATCATTTGGTACCACTTGTCTGTGTAGTAGTGGATGGTTTTGAGTGGTGGTGGTGGTGGTGGTGGTGGTAGATGCTCACAGCAGAATTCTTGGATAAATAAGCTCCCAAACTAGATAGAAGCTTGGATAGGGGAAATTGGTGAGGTTCTTTAGAGGGTATTTTGGTGATGAAGCTCCCTGAGCTATTCCCATGGCCTAGCTCCACAGGGACACTGGAATATCTGTGCCTGAGCAAGGGAGAACAGGGTGTTGTGGTAACACTGTGACCAAAAGCAGCCTAGGGGAGAAAAGGATTTATTTGGTTTTCATTTCCACATCACAGCTGATCACTGAAGAAAGCAGGGAAAGGACTCAGAGGCAGGAACCTGAGGCAGAAACTGTGGAGAAACACTGCTTGCTGGCTCACCCTTAGCTACCCTCTGCGTATTGCTCAGGGCCACCTGTGTAAGGGATGCTGCCGCCCACAGTGGGCTGGGTCATCCTGCATCAGTGAATAATCAAACCCTAACCCTAAACTCCACAGTCACAGTCACAGGACAATCTGATGTATGCGATTCCTCAATTGAGACTCCCTTCTCAGGTGACTCGAGGCCCTGTCAAGTTGACAAAACTAAGACAGGAAGAGATTAAAGCAACCTATCCTGAATGGATACTTGTGCCCAATGCTCAACACTATCTGCTCCATCTCCTGGAATTCTTTTTAGATATCATCCCTTAGTAATATCTTCACACTGTGGCCAATGTCACCTCAAATCTCTAGTGCTGGCTCCTATATTATTTCCATAATTACTGTTTTGTAACCCAGATTACATTTTCTTTCTTTTTAAAAGAATATTTTAGTTTACTTTTAAGTGTGTGTGTGTGTGTGTGTGTGTGTGTGTGTGTGTGTGTGTTGGGGGGGTATATGTATGAGTATATCAGTGCAGTGCCCACTGAGGCCAGAAGAGGGAGTCATATCCCATGGAATTGCCATTACAGGTAGTTGTAAATGGTCTGATGTGGGTGCTTGCAATAGAACTCAGGTTCTCTGCAAGAGAAGCAAGCACTCTTAACTGTGGAACCATCTCTCCACCCACACTGGGTTCACTTTTCAAGATCTTTTACTTCCTAATTCACTGAACTGTCTGTTTATGGTTTAGTCTGTTCTCTCACTAGAAACCACAGGTGCATGCATGTGCGCCTGGGTAGCCATATGTCATATGTGTTCAGGTGCCTTCAGAGGCTGGAAGAGAGTGATGGATCCCAGGGAACTGGAGCTACAGGTAGGTGTTAGCTACCTGATGCGGGTGCTGGGGACTGAACTTGGGAACCGTGAAGAGCAGCAAAAGCTGTAAAGTGCTGAGCCATGTCATGAACTACACCACCTAATTTTAACCTGGATCTTCCCATTTCCCCTCACACAGACCTGGGCCCCACCTATTATGGTACTGCATTCTGCTAGATCCAGGCTGGCCCCTACTAAGTTCACTGGGTCGGTTATACAGTGTGATGGCATCTTTTAAGAAACAGAAACTTTCACCGGGAAGTGGCAGTGGCTCACGCCTTTAATCCCAGCACTTGGGAGGCAGAGGTAAGTGAATCTGTGAGTTTAAAGCCAGCCTAGTCTACAGAGTTTCAGGACAACCAAGGCTACACAGAGAAACCTTGTCTCAAAAAAAGAGAAAGAAACAAAAAAAAAAGTAGGAAGGGAGGGAGGGAGGGAGGGAGGAAGGGAGGGAGGGAGGGGCAGGAAGGAAGGAAGGAAGGAAACTTGCGGCATGGCTGAAGATGACTTAGAACTTCTGGTCCTTCTGCCTCTGTTCCTCCAGGGCTGAGATCACAGGTGTGCATCGTCATGCCCACACCTGGCCTGTGACTTAGCATACTGTTTAAAAACTCATTTATGTAGCTGCACACATTCAGTCCTCTGCTCCTTTTAATTTTGCTGCCTGGCTAATTATTCTAGCTTCACTCTGTTGCTGTGATAAATACTGTAACCCAAACAACATAAGGGAGGAAAAGATTTCCCCTGACGCTTCCAGGTCACAGTCTGCCACAACCTGTGCAGCTTGGGGATTAACCTGACCAGGGTGACAGGGAATGAAGAAATGACAGATACACCCCACAGAAAAGCTGGCACTGGTTGATATAGGGGTGGTTGTCTGTACCCTGAAGCATCGCCCCAGTAGGGAGCAGGTAACTGCTAGGTACCTGCCCCCCACTCCCGGATGTGGCTGAGACAGGGACCCCTTAAGACCTGGGATAACGTGCTTGCTCTCTCTTGGCTGCCTTGTGGTCTTGCATGCTGGTGCTGTGGATCAAGGCAGAATTCTCCAGAGGATCACATTGGACTGCACCCCATCTCTTCTGGATTCCGAAACCAACTCCTTTACACTTTTTTTGTGAGTTAATCCTGAATAAATTCCTTTGATTATCAAATAGACTCCGTGGAATTTCCCCATTAGGGTGGTCCATTCATAGTGCTGGAGTTACACCAGCAGCCCAGAAACTCAGCTCATTTATTATACACAGCTGAACCATGAAGCAGACTAACTGATCTCAGTAGGGTGACTCTGTAGGGGGAATAGTTTTAAGCTGCAGGCATCAGGGAGGAGGAAGCTGTGGCTGGTACCATCTGCACACACTGTCAATGTATTTACTCCAAACAGAGAAACGTCTTCTTGTTTCCCTGAGCCTGACCTGGAAAGGCCTTGCCATTCCCATGGGTACAAGGCATTGGTACCCTTGACATGGTCATGATCATGTCATGAATTTTCATTCGACAGGGGTACACTCACTCTCCACCACGTTCCCTCACTGAGAGAAGTCAAGACAGGAACCTAAGTGAGGAGCCTGAAGGCAAGACTGTTTGCTATTCCACGTAGTATTATCCAGTCCAGGGAACTCCTAGTCAAGAAGTATGGCAGGAACCATGGACAATGCTGCTTGTTGTCTTGAAGGCTCATCCTCAGCTAGTTTTCTTACATAGCCCAGGACCACCTGCTCAGGGGATTGGTGCTGCTCACAGTGGACTGTGTAATCCTACATCAACTAAGAATCAAGAGAGTTTTCCATAGGTGCACTCATAGGCTAATCTGAACTGGGTAATTCCTCAACTGAGATTTCCTTCTCAGGTCTAGGCTGTGTCAAGAGACTGGGGATTGAAGCCACAGCACCATGCATGCTAGGCAAGAATGCCAACTGATACTACAAGCCTAACGCAGGAAATAGATCTCTATCTACTTGTGCATTTAATCAACAGATAACACATGAGCTTATCATATACTTATAACCTAGTGCCAAGCACTGGAGTTCAAAACATTTATATTTGACCCCCCAAACCCAGCAGAATGCCTCGTGCCTGTAATCACAGATAACTGGCTTACCGACCAGTGAATTTATATGAGGGTGGCATTCTCAGTGTTAATGGTCTTCAGCTGCAGATTCTTCGAGTCGATCTTGAAGACACATGCCTTAGGGACTAGGAAGATGACTAAGTCAGTAAAGTGTTGGCCATTATAGATGAGGGCCCGAGTCTGAATCCCCGGCACTAACGTTAAAAGGCAGACATGGTGGTTTGTGTCCGTAATCCTAGCACTTGGGAGGTAGCCATGGGGGGATCCCTGGGGTGTGCTGGTCAGCTAGCATATTTGAGCTGATAATCTCTGAGTTCAGTGAAACAACTTGTCTGGATAAAGAACAATGAAAATAAGGCAGAGAGAAGTTGAGGAAGACACCAGTGTTGACCTCTGGCCTCCACACATATCTGTACATCTGTACATGTATACCATTACGCACCCACATACCAACGCTCCCCCCCATCATTGGAACTTAAGAGGTGGTTGGATGTGTAGAAGCCAGATTACTTGTGAAAGTCCTTTTTAGCCCCAAAGTCTGTATCTCTCTGAAGCTGGGATGTGAAAATATTTAAATGGCTGAACTTGAGTTCTGTGTGAATATTGATGCTTTCCAGACACCAACATCTATGATAAATGAATTTGATATCAAAGGTTCTCAGCTACTGTATTGGAAGTCCCTCAGATCAAGCTGACTGTTTCCCAACTTCAGCCATCAAAGGGACACAGAAAAAACAGGAGTAATTCACTTTGTTGATATCTGTGTGTATTTAGTTCTGTGGGTGCCTGGGGATTTTTAAACATTAGCTCCTTTTAAATCAAGTTGGGCACCCTATAAATCAAAATGATAAATGATTGATAAATAAACTGTCATTGCTACAATTAGATTTTCCATTATACTTGTATGCTATAATTTAAAATGTAATTTCCCTTGAAGCTCATAAAGGCACGGTAGTAATAGGGTGTCACAATGTATTAGGGACAAGTGTGAGCATGTGGCTGAGCACGCACCCCTTTGAAGTGCAGGGCTGAATTGCAGGGTTTAATACAAAGCTCAGGCTCGGCTCTGGATCAGGGACAGATTACAGGACATTCCAAGGGACCAGGTGTCTTAGCTAGTAAAGTGCTTGCCACATAAGCTTGAGGACCTGAGCTCAGATGCCCAGATACCACATAGAGTTAGGTACGCACACCCAGAATAGTGGCATTCCTGTTGAGAGATGGGAGGTAGACACAGGAGACTCCCTGGAAGCTTGCTGGCCAGCAAGCCTGGGGTACACAGTGGTGAGGAACAAGGCAGACTGCATCTTAAACAACTGGCCTTCCCATGCACACTGTGGCTTGCACACGCCTGCACTTACACACAGGAACATGCACATAGACACACACACACACACACACACACACACACACACACACACACACACACACACACACAATACACACAAAGAAGAAGGACCAAATGGATTAAAATTGTGAAGTGGCATAGGGATGGACATGGGACTGTGGTTAAAGATCTCCATTCTGTCACATGCCAGGCATATCGTTTTCCATGCATGGACACTCTTCTTAAGGGGAAATCAACCAGTTCATCATAAAAGATGAATGTGCCTTCTACTATTTTTCTTTTCCACATAGCCAGATTTTACTTTTTAAATCTTTGTGAGAGTATGGGTGTATGATTGTGCTGCCATGCACATGTGGAGGTCAGAGGTAAACCTCTAGGGTTGGTCCCCACCCTCCACCTTGTTTGCGGCAGGGTCTCTCGTTCATTACCAACAGACAGGCTGATGTGAGCTTTTGAGGATTCTCTAGTCTCTGTCTTCCACCTCCTTGTAGGCACTCTGGATGATAGGCACATGCTACTACGTCCAGCTTCACATGAGTTCTGGGAATCCAGACTCATAGTTGTACGCTAGTGTGGCAAATAATTCATCCATTTGCAATCTCCATAGCTCAACACTAACTTCTGATGACCCACTGCTGTGATCTGAATGTGCAATGTCTCCCACAGGCTCATGGGTTTGAAACTCCTCCCCCTATTCAGGTGGTATGATCTGATAAATGTCCCTGATTAATGTGGCCACATCTACTCAGTCTTCAAACATTTAGGATTGGTAGATAAGACAGCTTATAACTATGAGATAAATTTTAAAAAGATAAGTTGACTCCTGGCTCAACACTCTAGGATTAGTCAAATGAATTTGTATTTGGATAGCCAGGTAAACATTTATACCATTTTTGTAGATGGAATTTTTTTTCTGTACTCAGAGAAGTTGTGGATTCTCATAACTACTATGTGTGGGATCAATTAATGTTTGAATGGACATGTTGTGATAATTACTGCCTGTGAGAAAATGCCTGGCAGAGGTATCCATCATGGCAGGGAGGCACAGTGGCAGGGTCAGCTCCATCTGTGTGGAACCACAAACTGTATTCTCTGGACCGGACTCTGACGATGGAAGTCCAATCTTCAAAGAGATTAATGACCATATTTTCTCAACTCAGCCCTGAGTTTCAAAGGTTTCATAACCTTCCAGAATGGAGTGCCATCAGGCACCGAGTGTTCAAAGCCTAAGCTCGCTGGGCCTTTCTCCAGTTCATGTTCGTTGGCTTTTACAAACGCCCTGAGAGAAAGCAACACTGGAAAGGGAAGGGGTTTGTAGTTTCAGAGACGTCAAGGCAGGAACTCACGCAACACATCAAGAGTGGGTAGACACACATCCAGGCTTGCTTTCAGTTAGCTTTCTCCCTTCACACACTATTCAGGACCCCCATCTAGGAAATGAGACTCCCAGCAGTGAGTTGGGCATCTCTCCATCAATCAATGATCAATACAATCCCTACACAGATATACCTCCAGGTCAACTTAACCCTAAGTCCTCATTAGACTCTCTTCCCAAGCTTTTCCAGGTTGTGTTGAGTTGACGGTTCAAATGAACCAGCAGAGGGGCCGAAGGCCTGTCACACTCAAGCCCAGAGCACACTGTCACCATTTTTAGCTCGTGAGTTCTGTAAGAACTTTCTTCTGGTCTGTTTCCTAAAGCACCCACCTCCGTTTCTACAACAGCAATCCCACGTGTGAGGAGGTTATCTCTGAGCCATTTTCTCACGAATGCAAATGTTCACCCCAAGCCGTGCCTCCCTGCACCCTACCCCATTAGGCCGTGAAGAGTGGTTACTTAAAGAAGGACGGTTGCTTTAGAATTGAAAAGAGGGCCCCTGACTGGAGAGTGGGGGTCAAGTTTCCACAAATATTTCACATTCTCACCCATCCCCCACAGCTCATTAGTGCCCCATGTCCACATTTAAATTCTGCCCACAGAGAAAGCAGAGTGGATGTCACCAGGCTGATGTTAAATCAACAGTCCCTGTTCACAGAGGGCTCCCTGTGACCTAAGCTTTTTAGAATGACCCAAGATCATTACGGATTCACCGGACTGTGGCTGTTAAGGTCTGGTTGATGTCAGAAGCCCTGGTGTCCATTTATAATTCTTCCTTGTAGCTCTTCCCTTGTCCTCAAATTGGCCATCAAGTGGTTCAATTGACCTTGAAATGTAGATTATAAATTGTGACTTGAGAAAACCAGAGATTCCAAAGTGATTTTTACCCCCAATTTGGCCTTAATTTGGCAAGGTTTTTTTTTTTTTTAATTTTTAAAAAAATTTCCAAGAATTTTTTTTTTTCTGTTCGGAAGTATGTCTGGCCTCGTTAGCAAGGACTGAACTAGCTATTCATTAAAATTAATGAAGCCAGCATCTAAGGCCTTGATCAGAAGTTCATGGATAAGTCAAAGTTGATCAGAATTACTGTTGTAACTAGAGGGTTTTCTCTCCAGGCTGGTGGTAACACATTGGGAGTTTTTTTTTTTTTTTTCACTTAACATTCATCAGGGAAAGAAAGCTAGGCAGCTAGACACGGGAGAGCAACACTTGGCAGACTGAGGTAGGAGGGTTGCCACTGCAGGTTGTATAAATCCAGACTGCATAGCAAGTACCAGGCAAGCCCAGACAACTTAGTGAGCCCTCAATTCAAAGTTAAAAGTAAACAGAAAGCTAAGGACAGAAGTTAGCTGTAGAGCACTTGCCTAGAATCCCCCAATGAGAGAATGGGGGTGTGGCTCAGTGGTAGAGCACCTGCCTAGAATCCCCCAGTGAGGGGCTGGAGGTGTGGCTCAGTGGTAGAGCATTTACTTATGTGAGATCCTGGATTCAAGCCCCAGAACTACCACTACCAGGAAAAGGAAGGAAGGAAGGAAAGAAGGAAGGAAGGAAGGAAGGAAGGAAGGAAGGAAGGAAGGAAGGAAGGAAGGAAGGAAGGAAAGCTTCATCATAGGACTTAATGGTGCTTTACTCTGACTGAAGCTGGAATTTACCTAGGAAAGCATATGAGTCAACACTTTGGCAGAGAAAACACTGTGTGTAAGATTTCTTACAGACTGTAACCTCTTTGCCTTTTCCTGTCCTCTGATTTTGTATGAAGAATTGCTTTGGATGTTTTTCTAGAGGAATCCTGACACACATGGCACAGGCTCCAAGCTGTTTAACTGGGAGCATGGTACATGCTAGCCAACTATTCTACCCCTGAGCTATACGTTCCCGCCCCGCTTTGTTGAGACAGGTTCTCACTAAGCTGCCCAGATGGCTTTGAACTCACTCTGTAGTCTAGGTGTACCTTGAACTTGTGCTCTTCTTGCTTCAGTCTCCCTAGTAGCTGGAATTACAAGACTGTCATCACACTCAGATGGCTCTGAGTTTTTACAATGCTTGAGTTAAGCCTGAAGCCCAGGACACTGTGCATCCCAAGCATGTGTTTTATCACTGAGCTCCTTACCGGAAGATGCTAGGCAGGGGCTCTACTGCGCTACCCCTTACTGGGGGATTCTAGGTAGATGCTGTACCAGTGAGTCACAGCCCTAGAATCTCTCACTGGGGATTCTAGGCAAGGACTCTACCATTGAGCCATGCCTCCAGAAACCATTGCACTGATTCCCAAGCCAACTTCCCATTTTTTTTTTTAATTTAATGTTTGACCCTTGTGGCAATAGAGATTTTAGTCTTGAAACAAGTTCATATATTCTGACAACTTTTCATTCAACAGAGATACTGAAAAAAAAAAAACATTGCATCTCATTTCGCCTGAGAGAAAGTACATGTACATCGAATCACATTTGGCAAACAGAAGGAACTTGCTAGACTTAAATCAACCCTGTAGTCAGATTTTTTCAGCTTGAAATCCTTTTCCTATGCAAACAACTGCCACCTAATTAATCCATTTTTGTCGCATCCGGTTTTTAGAAAGCAGAGACGTCCTTTTTGAGGAATAGAACTAACCCCAAGTGTGACAGTAGCAAACAAATGTTATGCAGAGATGGAGAATGTAGTTTCAGAAGCTGTCATATAGTGGTAGTGTACTCACCTGGGTTCTCCTCTCCTTCTCTTTGTTCCTTCTTCTTCTCTCCTCTTTTTTTCATTTCCTCTTAAAAAAAAGAAGAAATCAGCATAAAGGTGTATATAGTCCATGAAAGTTTGACTGTATTCTGCCTTTAATTTGCAGAGTCCTGGGGCCACCAAGATGACTGAGCAGGTAAAGATACTTGCTACCAAGCACCATGATCTGATTTTCTCCACCATCCTCATGGTTGACAGAGAGAATTGACTCCTGCAAATTTTTCTCTCATCTCTGCACACATGCCATGGCATAAGCACTCATGCAGGTGTGTGCTCACTCACAAAAAATAAATAGAATTTAATAAAGATTATATATAATATATATAATATTATATATTATATTATATATCATTATATATTATTATATATTATTATATTATATTATATTATATTATATTATATTATATTATATTATATTATATTATATTATATTATA